TTTTGTTACAAAATTTAATAGCTTGAAACTGGGACAGTTCCATGATATCCTTGACTCGCGGGTGCACTGTGTGTATCACGCTATTCGAACAAGATTCTCCCTGGTTCTGGGAATGACGTCACAACCGGGGACTGCCGAAGACCGCCGGGTTTTGCATCTTCGTTTCTAAGGGCGTTGCTATGGGATTTTTGGGGATACCAGAGAGTCTCTTCGATTTTTTTTTCATGAATAGGCTAAGCATGCATTATTGAACACTATTCAAAGAAAAAACAATGCATGATAATTACTTCACATATGCCCTTTATGTGGAAATTCATTTTGGCGTATCTCATTTCCATCAGCAGGACGGGCAGCTGCTCCCCTCTCTCTCTCTCTCTCTCTCTCTCTCTCTCTCTCTCTCTCTCTCTCTCTCTCTATATATATATATATATATATATATATATATATATATATATATATATATTATATATACACATACACACTCATTTATAAATGTGTGTGTGTTTGTGTGTGTACATTATATATATGCATATATATGTAAATATATATATATATATATATATATATATATATATATATATATATATATATATATATAGTAAGTGCGCTGCATGCGTGTGTTTGTATGCACACACACACACACACACACACACACACACACACACACACACACACACACACACACACACACACACACACACACACACACTTCATCGAACGTAATGCAGGCAAATTCTATAAACAGCATGAAAATGAAATTCATTTTCAAATTTAGCCGACCGCGATGGAACTCTGAATTTAGATTCGCCTCTCTTAGGAATGGCTGTGAGAGATGCGTAACAAACGCGCCATGTAGTCACACATTAAATCTACGCATTTTGCAACATTTAGTTACTATTCTCGACTGTCTATCAATATCTAAATTTCACAGCAAGCTATTGCTCTTTTATCAAACAGACTTGCAATTTTGATGGAATTAAGATAATACTAAAAGAAGGTGGAAATGCGAGGAAATATACAAATATATCGGTCATTATCTAGGTTTGTATGTCTTTTTTCTTTTTCGATATTCGATTTAATAAAAATGAAACGAAAGAAATTGAAACAAATTCACTCACACACACACACACACTCTCTCTCTCTCACACACACACAACCATGTTCTCGCATATACACACACAGACATAACACATACTCACACACATGCACACAGATCATATACTTACACACCACACACACACACACATGTATTTGTGTGTATGTATATATATATATATATATATATATATATATATATATATATATGAGGCCCATATGCAAGAGGGGGTTAACCCCAAAATCTTAGTTTTGAGTAAATCACGCTCACACACATGCACACAGATCATATACTTACACACACACACACACATGTATTTGTGTGTTTATGTGTATATATATATATATATATATATATATATATATATATATGAGGCCCCATATGCGAGAGGGGGTTAACCCCAAAATCTTAGTTTTGAGTAAATCGCGCTCAAAGTTGATAACATTGTAATGAGTAAAGCAGTTGAATGTATTACTATTATGCATCAAAATAAAGATCTAGGCTAGTTCTATCATGTCATGTTATTTATAAAAAACGAGTTTTCGATCTTTTGAAAACAAAAAACATAGTAGTATATAGAAAAAAATCTTCACTACCAGTTTTTTTCACAAGAAATTATTAAAGTCAATGTATAAACATATATATAATATATAAAAAACTAATGAGAAAAAAGTAGGCCCAGGATTCAGTCGTTTTTTCATGTCATTTTTGTTCTTCATGGAAAAAATCATCCATCTTCATTGGATCTGGTACCACCCAGGGGCCGGATTCACAAACATACGATCGTAACGCATTTACCAGCGGTCATTTACCGTTGCGTTTACCAATCATGGCAAAGCGGGTTTCATGAAGAAATGATAATTTGGATATGCTGAGTTACAATCGTAAATCGACTCATTCTAATGGTAGCCAACAGAGGGCTCTGGTAAAGCTATTCAACCAATCAGCGAGCGCTATACATAATATTTTTAGGTAACACTTAACATGTAAACAGAACAAGACACAGCGAGATTGTTTAAATAATCGTCAGAGCTAAAACACTTTTGTAGAAAAAAGAATATATATATTCGATTACATCCACCATGTTAGATATATATTTACTGTATAGATAGGAACCAGTACAAACAATGCTATATCAATATATTATTGTTAACTCAAACCAAAGAGACAGTCCTAACCGATTTATACATGTTTTCCATCATTGTTAAACAAAGAACCGGATCAAACATATTTTTTATTCATCGCCATTTGTTGTCAAAGGAAATATCTCAAGCTTATTCTTCCCCAGGCACTTTGGAGTTTATTGTCAAAATGCCGACAGATATAGATATTGCTATACTCATTTAGCGTTGGTATTGTAAGTTTATATATCAGCAGGGTAGGTTTTCTTCTATAGTATTTATAATAATTAAGTCAGAGAAGAACTCTTGTATAATGTAGGCTTATAAGTTCACGAGAATTTGTGTGGATCTTATTCTTGCTAGTTTCAAGTGAAATTTGCATTTCTTCACTATGTCCGCGTTGTGATATCTGTTTGCCATCACATTAGTTACATCAGGTGTAAAAACAAACGCAAAACTTTGCTTAGATATTGATTTTTTGGCGAGATAACACGTGATGACATCGTCTTCCCAAAAGTTACCAGTGCTATGACCACTGGTAAAATTTACCATGGTAACTCCAATGGCAAGTTGTTAGTGAATACCACCGCTGTCTGTTTACCATGGTAACTATAGTTACCAATGATTTTGCCATCGTAAGTGCGTTAGTGAATCCGGGCCCAGGGCTTAAACCCCTCTCGCACATAATTCAATAGTTAATCTTGCCGGGTGGACGCCAACAACCAACTTTAGGCCTAAATTAACCCTTCAGGAATGTCTATTTTCCCTTGGCTGACACTGCCACATGATTATTTAATATCTGGTATACAAGACGGCGCATGCAACTCCAAACTGCCATTTTTGTGGGTTACGTCCGTTTCGCAGATGGGGCCTCATATATATACATGTGTATATGTGTACACACACACACACACACACACACACACACATATATATATATACATATAATATAATATAGCGAAAAGGTTTGGGATTCCGTGAGGATGTCCGGCAAGCTGGAGCGCCGGGTAGAGAGGACAAGTAAGTAATAGCGAGGTCAGGATAGTAAGATGTGTGGGGCTCAAAGAGGAACATTGCATGGTGAGCATTGAGGTGGATCGGTGCGTGACATGAGATAATAATGCATGAGGTGAGTGTGACCTATTCGTGAACGGACAGCTTTTGTGCTGATGGTATGGTTCTGGGTGTATGGACTGTATGAGTGATATTGAGTTATGTGAGTCGGTAAAAATGGTGAAGGATGAAGAAGAGATGGGAGATATGCGCTGTAAATCAAATAGTGTAGCAAATGGTCCTGTTGTAAGGACGCTCGATTCTGATTTGGGTGGATCAGGGAAAATTGAAGAGCAATTACAAGAGACAGGTATGAGCCAGGGAGGGGAAGACTAATCAGAAAGAGGAAGGGATCGGAGATAAGAAAAGGGTAATTGGGAAAAGCAGAGCGTTATACTGACAGGAAAAACGGTAGGTAAACGTGGAGATGGTATGAAGGGACAGAGGGACGGTTAACTTTGACAGAAAATTTGTGAAAACGAGCATAGCTACTTAGAGAAAAGGGGCAAGGCATAGAGAAAGGGATGGTAGGCCTGATTCAGTGTATAGTCTGTCAACTGGAGAGGATCGGAAGGTGCCTAGGGCTAATCGAAGACCGCAATGACACCAAGCACCTTGCCTGATGGGCAGATTTGGAGTGGCGCGTCTTATGAAAAGAGTGGAGGTTGGGAGCCTATACGTGAACGAGAAAAAAATGATGTAAAATGTCTTAGGTAGAAAATCAGAAGCCATGGCCTAAGAAGAGATTGGTGTTATTACAAACTGGAGAATCTGACGGAGGACAGATATGGAAGGGCTAGTGGCAAAGATGGGTAAATCATTTACTTATAGGGATGGCCAGATCCCAGGTGGTAGAACTTAAACTAATGAGTTTACAGCAGTGAGATATGTGGCGCCGAGCAGTGCGTTTACGACAAGGAGATATGTGGCGCTGAGCAATACGTTTGCAGGAATGAGATAAGTGACTGAGCAATGCGTTTACAGAAGTTTGCTTAGGCAGCTCGCAAGAGCTATGGGATGGTAGTCTTGAGGAAAGGTACCGGGAATTTTTCGTTTTAGGAAAGATAGTGCAGAGGCTTCACTTCATTGCGGAGGAAAGTTTACGGTCGTCTATGTTATTGAATATTGATAGAGTAGAACTGACCAATGGAAGTCTAGACGAAGGGAAGGAGAGCAAAGAGAAAGATCAAGGCATGGAAAGGATTGGATACGCATGTCAAAGTGGTTGGGGCGGTTTGAATTTAGGAGTGTAAGGTCAGCATTAGAAAGTCTCACAGGGAGCGACTTGGGGGGAAGTAATGTTTGAAAAAAAGTCATTGGGGAGGGAAGTAGAAGTAAATTGAAACAATAGTGAACCATCGGCGGAAAAAGATGCGAATAGCTGTGCAAGAGAGTGATTTGTAAGAGAAGTATAACATATGATGCTTCATGATGGACAATTTTGGAGGAGGCAGGTAGAGAGTAATGGGATGCTAGAAAATGGTAATTGGGAATTGCTATTGGAGGATGTGTGAGGCAGACTATGGATGGGAAGATAGGTGACAAAGCTCAAGTCTGTGAGAACGGAAACTTCTAATATTCCACTGCATACTTGCATTTAAGTAGCTATTGATGGGTAATAAAGGTAGAAATGAGTGTCGTAAAAGTAAGAGATGTAGAACTCTGGGAAAGAGGTACGGGGTCAGAGAGAGAAGGTAAAGTATCAGGAGGTTCTTCAGGAAACGAAGGGT